GCAACATTGATTGTCCATGAGACATGGTAGGGACGAGTTGGAGTGTTTACTTGTCAGTTGAAACTAAGTTTGAGTGTTTTTTTTTTTTTATGTATTATGCCTAGAAAATAATGTGAAGAGAGCTTTGACAAACAGATATAAAAGTGGAAAACCTGTATATATAGTAATTCATATTTCTCTTGTTACAAAGGTCCCCATGAAAACCTGGGGAGCTTTTCTAGCTCTAACTGGGACTACATGTCACATCGGTGCTCTTTCAACAGGCCCGTTGATCCACAGTGCAAATATTGTTGTACAGTTAGACCTCTTTATAACAATCATGTCTTCTATGGAATCGTTTTTCTGCTTGTGTTATATTATATGTTACCTATAACAGCATTTTGCACTAACAACCAAAAAACTATGGGTACAAAAATGTTGTTATAGAGAGGTTTGACTGTACAAGCATGCATTGGAAGACAGATGAAGAGCTAAGCTATCTCCGAATGACAGGTATGAGCTTTCCTCTGTGTATGTGGGCTCATACCTGAAGTTTGGTACTCTCGGTTTACTCTTGAACATCGTGAACATGGATTTAATGGTGATGAACTTGGGGATTGATATCCATATCCGTTTGAACCGATTGCTGGTGATCTTGAATATGTCTTTGGGGATCGTGTTGGAGAAGACATTGGCGATGAATGTATTCTATTACCTCTAGCTGGTGAGGATATTGGTGAGTCGTCGATCAGTTTCTCTGCATAAATTTTTTTACATTAGACTCATGTTTGGATGTCCTCAGACACTAAACATCAGACTGATTGAGAATCAAGTGACAAAATAAGACCTACTCCCTCCGTTTCAATTTATTTGTTTAACTTTCCTTTTTGAGTCTGTTTCAACAAGAATGTCTCTTTACTTTTTGGTAAATTCCACGGATCCTTAGTTTAATAAAACAAAATTCAGAAGTCTTGTTTACTTTCTAAAATTCCGAGCCAAGTTAAAACCAAACAAAAAAATTGAAACGGGAGGAGTGTCTTATTTATTCCTCTTTTTCCGTCTATGTTTTGGGAGGTGGGGGTGGTTCGTGGAAGAGCTAACCTGGTATTGTGCTAGCCTTTCTGTCCTGCACTTTGTTACGTGATGAATCTTTCTTGACTGCTGTCTTTTGGTTGATGGGCTTGGATGCAATTTTCTCGTGATTTTCGGATGACATTGAAATTTGATTAGGTTCAGGAACTTTCTTGTCTGCAATGTTGAATAACTTTTGGTTTAGTCTCCTGGTTCTCGAACTTGTTCTTTGCATCTCCTCTCCATGAAGTGGTTTGTCATTGGCAGCTAATGACTTTTTCCGATCTAAAGTCTTTGAACGTCGTAATTTCTGATCATCAGATGAATGTTTCTTCTCATGAGCCTCTGAACTAACTAGTTTCTGATCATCTGATTCATTTTTCTTTTCTTGAGTCTCAGAACTAGTCGGTTTCTGATCATAAGATAAAATTTTCTTCTCTGAAATTGGAGGAGATACTACATTTTGCTCAGCTGATTTCTTCGTTTCTGTTGTCCGTGGAGATACTAAATTTAGCTCAGCTGATTTCTTCATCTCTGTAGTCCGTGGAGATACTAAATTTGGCTCAGCTGATTTCTTCGTCTCTGTAGTCCGTGGAGATACTAAATTTTTTGCAGCTGGTTTCATTTCCTCTGAAGTCGGAGGAGATACTATATTTTGTTCAGCTGATTTCATCTTCTCTGAAGTCCGAGGAGATGCTAATTTTTGCGGAGCTGCTACGCTTGATGAAGGTTTTTCATCACCTGCTTTTGGAGACATTGCCTTCTCTTGGTTGGCCAAAAGTTTGAGTCTTTGGTTCTTGCCCATCGATGAAACGATCTTTTTCTCTAATGAGTCAATGCGTGGTGACCTATTAACTAATGGTGATGATACTGCTCCTTTCCTGTCCGGACTATCAGCAAAGAAAAGTGTTTCATCTGCTGTTGCCACAGACGAGAATCTCCTCTCCGGACTCTCAGAACCAACTGATGTTTGATCGAATAAGAGAAGCCTTCTATGTGGTATCTCGGAGATAGCGGACCTCTGATCAAAGAATCTTGAATCTTTCCTGTCAATTATCTCAGAGCAAACTGACCTTCCATCACTCGGTGCAAGAAAGAGATCATCCATCGCAGACAATTGCCCGTCATCACTCAGCAATGATGCTCTCCTGTGGACCGAAAAACCATCACGTGATGGATCCCAGTTCTTTCCAATAATCTTTTCTTTCTCAATGAGCCGATAAGCAAACATTTGAAAAGGAATCTGTGATACGGGAATCAAACTCGTGCTCTCCTCTTCAGCAAACTTCTTTGAGTAGCTAGCCTCAATATCACAGTAGTCTACAAGTGGAGGGGCAGTTTCAGGCTGGCCATGTTCCGGATTTATGACAAGGACCTTCTTGATGTAACGTAAAATCCTGCATAGAGACGAGAAACGTGGACGAAGATTTGGATTGGTATGCCAACACCTTCTTGTTAAGTTCACAAGGTATTTAGGTGAAGGATATGGGAAGAGAGGCCTCTCCCCTGCTCTGATATTCCGCACGACTTTCTCCCCTTGCAAATGTCCTTCATCAAACGGAACTTTCCCCGTCAAAATTTGGAAACAAATCATTCCGAAGCTATAAACATCAGCTTGTTCTGTGTACTTGAAGGCACACTTGCTTCCTGGTTTTTCTTGTTCAGCAAGAACTTCCGGGGCAAACCATATAACGGAATCAGCTGCATTGTGGCTGGCAGTCTTATAAGTACTTTTGATTGAAGTTAATCCGAAACCTTTGAGTTTCGCGTGAAAATAGCTCTCTGCTGAGGAATTCCTTGCTCTAAGAAGTACATGAGAGGGGTTCAATTCTCCGTGATAAATCTTTTTCGAATGCAGATACTCCATCCCTTTTGCAATCTGAAGCATAATATCAACTGCAGCAGACGTTGAAAAAGGCGGTCTCTTCCTCTGACCAGAATGATCTTTTATGTACGTCGTAAGAGTATCATTCATCAGCTCCATAACAAGATACCCTTCTTTCCTCTCTTCATCATAAAAACCACAGTGATATTGCAGAATGTTGGGATGGGATAAAGAAAACACCAAAGAAATCTCATCATGTAACGGTTCAACCTCTCCGAAAAAGTTCCTCAGAGCAAAACTCTCACCTAACCATTGTATCTCCTTAACATGTCCGCCCCAAGACCCTAAACGTCTCTTCACATGGTAATCGTTTGATCCGACTAAGATTGAACTAGGCAACAATATCTTGTTAATTGGTTCAACACCATCTAATTTCCTTAACAATAAGTCTCCAAGCCTTTGTTCATACTTGAACAAAGTTTCTGTTTTCTTTTGCCTTATCATATCGATAAGCAACCATCTATCCTCTTTCCAACAACTCTCCAACCGGCTACATATTTCGCGAGTTACCAAATACTGCTTCCCAGACATCCACTGAAAAAACCTCGGATCAATCAATTCCCTATCGTATTTCCTCATTAACGCGGTTCTCCTCTGCTGCATTTCCTCCTCATCGAACCCCGAGATTTCTGCAGCAGTCTCAATTGCTTCAATAACAACAGGGAAGCAACACAGCAAGTTATGAATATGAAACTCAACACAATCTCTGTTCATATGGAGACTTATGGCTTTCCCCCACAAATCTTTAACATCCAAACAATATTTTACGTACGATTCGCCTTCTTTAAAGATCCTATGAAGCTCTTTCATAGGTAGCTCAAGAGCTTTCCACTTTATACTACTCTCATTTAACCTTAAGTTATGTTTGATTTCTTGTGAAATTGTATCAAAAGAATGAACAAACATATCAAATAGAAAACAACATTGCCTTTGATTGATTTGGATATCATTTTTCAACACCATAAGAGCCTTCAAACTCCCAACTACTTCACCAATTTGCCTAAATTGATCCATTTACCTTTTATGAGTTGCAAAAAACTTCAATACAACAAAGACCTACAATAATAACAAAGCCACAAAAGTTAGATTAAGCTCAACCCTAAATTAGTAATAAAGTGAAAATATGCAATGGAATTCAACACTTGCACCAAATCATGGAAGGCCAAGATTCAAATCCCAAAAATGCTTTTTAAAAATTTATTTCGATAACTATGGTGTCCGGACCAACCAACTTTCGAGCATGAGGTCGTTGTTACCTCGATGCTTACCCATGAAAACTAGCAGGGACTTAATGAAATATTTGAGGTGCACGCAAAAGCTGGCTTGAACACCATCATTATTTAAAAACTTTCTAAGAAAAAACAAGGAATTCTACAATTACAATGCATAAAAGTTGTGCTTCTCCTCCTACTCCATCTCCATTTTTTTTGTGTCCCACCCGGTTTTCGAAATCCATATTGGGGCTTCCATTAAACTCGAATCGCGTTTTGCAGAATTCATTCGGTGATGGCGCTCCCAATAAAATTTTCTCCATACTCGGCTTGACTCTATCTCTATTTTATTTAACATGAATATTAATCTATTGAACATTAAAACTATATACTAAAAGCAAGAAATTGCATCAAATTAGGATCCAAAATAACAATCTATAGATTATCATGAAATGAACATATCCTTAATAATATCATCCCAAAAATAAACCATTTTACAAATAAAAATGGGGTTTGCACCTTTTTCAACAAGAAAAATACTGAATTTCTATTAGGTTTTTTGAGAATAAACCCAATAAAAATTCAGCATGAACCCATTCTAGATCAGATCAAATAATCACCTTCTGGATAATTATAATAATAATCTCCAGAAAAAAAAATTAAAACTGCCAAAAAAAAAACTAACCCCATCATTTGTGTATAATTAATGATAAAGGGGTGTAGTTGAAACAAAAAAAAAGAAAAAAGTTTTTTAGGCAAAAAAAAAATGAGAAACTTGATCAGACTTTTTGGGAATTGTAATGATCAAAGTTGAAAGTATGAGGTTGGTAATAAAAGTGACCAAAAAAAAAAAAGGTAGTAATTATTTTATATTTTGTACTTTGTATTTTTCTTAATAATTTTTGACCAACCTAAAGAATAATTATGAAATGGTTTAATTTTTTTTTTAGTTCTATGTTGTCATGGCCATTGGAACTTCCGTTTATTTGGGGGTGATTTAAATATTCTACCGAAAAAATAGGATAAAGTATTTCTCAAATTATTCTACATTTTATAATAAAAAATACTAACTTAAATAACTTCAATCAAGAAAAGGAAAAGATATATGTTTTCTTTGTATTTTTTATTATTTTTGTTTTACACAAGGATGAAGTATTATTTAAGAGGAATATTTGATAACTTATCCCTCAAAAGAGACTCAGTATATCGCAATTACATGTGAATCACGTTGAGATACGTTGCATATTGTACATCTAAGTTGATCCACATGCATGTTGAGATATGTAGATCTGAGTAATCGACGGAAAATAAAAAGTGATACATAATTAAAACTTAAACTAGTGAGATTTATATTGTTTGTTTATTTTCATTGGGCAAACTAGTTAAACATACTTTCCTATCATAGTTACTGATCCTCACTATAGTTTGAAATAATTACATACCATAATTCATAATCCGATTAAACATTTCAAGTCAGATACACCTGTATATTTGTTATATCAAATACATTAAGATAGGAAAAGACGCGAGCAAAATCCCTGAATACATATGAATCATTCTCATATATATGTAAATCACACTAAATATGTGTATATACTAGATACATCTATCTGGAATATCAGATACCAAGTGAGACAAGTGATATAGGAGAAAAACGTGCATAAGAGTCAAAGACATACGAATCCACCTGAATATAACATATCTAAAACAAATTACACCTAATTTTGACCTCATATATAAAATCTATATCCAAAATCTGAAATACATTTATCTATACAAACACGTCAAATATGTATATCGAAAATCTAAAATGCACACACATCAAATATATACATTATATATATTCAAAATCTACTAAAACTCATAATATTAAAAAAAAATTAAAGCCGCCCAATGCGATCGTATTGTATAAGCCCAAATTGGACACCGTGAGATTTAAAAGGGAAATTTTGTCAATTTTCTCTCTATAATCTCTCTCTCTGCTTACGGCCCTCTTTCGAGATCTTCGTCGTCGGCTGTTCGCAGAGAGAATAATAATAAGAAGAAGAAAGGAATTGATTGAAAAGAGAGATTAGCACAAAAATGACAATGAGATCTGGAAAGTTGCTTTTCAGTTTCGTTGTAGTATTTGCTCTGATTTGCTCGGTCCTGTTTCCGGCCGTTCAGGCACAAGAGGGTTTAGCTCCGGCACCTGCTCCAGCAAGCGACGGTAAGCTTTTTTTTTTTTTTTTGACGATTCATTATTCAAACCCAATTAATGGGTAGTAATGTGTATGTATTGAATTTGAGACAGCTATTATACTGGATCTGTCAAATTTATGACTGTTTGAATTTGTTTGTTTGATTAATTTGGACGCAAAATAAATCTATGAAGAAAATATACGTTTTTTTAATTAAAAAAAATTGTATACATAGGTTATATTGATAGGTTTGGATTAAATTTGTCATGTCAAAAGGGGGGTTTAAGATGTGTAAATAGCCTAGCGTAGAACAGACCTCTGTGTGCATAGCTGGAGCTTGTGGGAATAGCCTCTCGCAGAAATGTAGGGTAAGACTGCTTATAATAGAGTCTAGTGTCTGGTCCTTCCCTATGTTAGTATGTTTACATCGAATATTTTCCATCATAGCTCTCTAAGGTCTCTGTTGAAAACAACCTCGAACTCTTGCCCTACAAAAGGTAGGAATACGGTAATGCCTATACCCTACCTTCTCCAGATCCAACTTGTGGGATCACACTGAGTTTTTTGTTGTTATTGTATGTTCAAAATTAGGTTCAGTCGGTGGCGGAGTGGGGATTCAAAAAGAATCTAAGAAAAGGCTACACTTGAATTTCTCTTACGTCTAGGTGATTAGAAATTTTATGCATGCCTAAGAAGTTCATCTTCATGACTTTGTGGTATTGAATCCCCTTGTTTGCGTGTGGCTCTCTTATTGAATAAGAATGGGTATGAATGGAGCAATATGAACAGTAAGGATCCATTAAACAACTTAAACTTGTTCGTGATTAACGCTTAGTTGTTGGAAGTTGTGTGAGCTGCGAAGACAATTGGTGAAGGTGAATCCATTGCTTAGATGCCGGAGTTTCTAGTTTGTTGTTTGTTATCATTTAGAATTTGACTATTTCTTGGTGTGATTTAGATTATGGTCGTGGATAGATCTTGTGATGTGAATATGTTATAGCGTTCAACATCAACTTCTTTAACTAACTTATTGATCCTCACTCATCTCTGTCTGCCTATTAGGAGGATTATGTGGACTCATGTGATATGTTACAAACCATTTTCATTATTTGCTATATCCAACTTATATTTGAAAGTTTGGATGGGATGTCAAAGTACATAGCGTCTCGATAACAAATTCATATTTATTGTTGAGATTCTAACTTTTTATCTAATGAATAATTATCTTCTCTGGATGGTAAGGAAATATTCTCTTGCAAATTTTTTCTCATTGAAGTAGATAGCATCCATTTGTGTCCAAGTTTTGGTGTACTTTGCCACAAAATGCAAATATCTTCGTATAGTACAACTACTTGTGGTTTCACGTGAATTAGGACTTTTTATTTGTATTACAATGTATATTAATTTGAGATCGTTATAAAATCTTCATAAGTTTCAAATTCTAAATCCTTATTTTATTTTATGTATTGTGACTGTTTTGCAGGTACAACAATTGACCAAGGGATTGCATGTGCATTAATGTTGTTGGCCTTGGCCGTGACATACCTTGTTCATGCTGCTGATGTTCCTTTTTAATTAGCTTCTAAAAATAATGAGAGTTTATTGAACATCATTGGTGTTTTGAGTGCCTAGGTTTATGGAAAATTTACAAGGTTTTTCTTGTTATTACACCTAGGACAGGACCAATTTAACTTTGACAAGCAAATCTTTTTTGGGGTTCCAACAATATTTTATATAACACTCTTGGTCAAGCTTTTTCATTATTCTTTGTATGGATTAAATTATTTAACACGTTATCGAGATGCAATTTTATCACTACATTATCAAATTAATTGAGATGTATGCAAACACACCCACTATGTTTAAGTGTACGTGAAGAAAATAACAACTTCCTCCTGTTGCACACCGAACACAAGAAAATAAGTGGGAAAAAAACACTTGAAATTTTTCAAAAAGATATTTTCCATAGAAAACATTTTCCTCTAGACCAAACACACCCACCATCACATGGGAAATTGCAGCTTTTTTTTTTCTAAAAATTTAACCAGAAAAGCATTTAAGCGTTAAGAGATCACTTACTTCAGTTGCCAAGGGTCAGATGTCTACTAGTTTGAACCCATCCACAGGATTTAAAAGCCATTAAAGGTTTACAGACACAGCAAACTCAATGTTTCACAGTGAGGCCACAATTCAAGCTTTCCTCTCAAGTTGATTATACATGAAGAAACAAACACTTCTTAATATGTCATAGACAATGACCACAAACTCAGAGGGAAAGGAGCCCCCCTCCGGACATGGGTCTGAGCAGCAACTAACCCATTGCATACTTTTGGGTCCAGCTCCGAGCAGTTGCTTCGTACTTGCTTTTATCAGTCTTGTACATATGAGCAATCTCGGGCACCAAAGGATCATCGGGATTAGGGTCTGTTAGCAGAGAGCAGATTGACAGCAGCACCTGCAAGCAATAAAAAACAGAATAAGCCACCGTCATACATCCGCGCAAACATAATCTGTTCTCTGCACTTCACTACGATGGATCAATTTATGGTTAATGCATTTGAAATGAACAAGGTATACTTTGATCCGTCCACATGTAGCTTTCTCGAGAACAACTTAAAATGGGAACAGAGAAAGTACTGGTATTCAGTTTCTTAAATTACCCTCTCGACAGAAGGAAAATATTACTGCATTCCTTTAATAAAAAGATTTAACAAATGTGTCTAAAACTATATCAGAAATAACCTTGGAAATCGTAAGTGCCGGGCTCCATTGTTCCTTCAGAATGTCGAGGCAAATGCTGCCATTGCTGTTGATGTTTGGGTGAAAAACCTTTGTCCTAAAAGCTACCTGCACATTGTTACAGAAATGATGTGAAACTTTCACAGGGAAAAGAATAAAGAAAAGAAAAGGTTATACACGTTGCAGAACATTGTCTAGGGAGACAGTGTACTTTGGCAAATGAATCTAAGAGCACGACAAGTCAATTCTAATAAACACATGAAGAAATTCAATCTATTGCTGGAATCTGTATGGAATAAAACAAAATTATTCACTAGGATACCAACAAGAAAATTTGTCTCCTCTCTAGTTAAGGGTTCAACATAGTACTCATGAGGGGAAGGTTTTAAATGAAATTAACAAGATGCATGTTCTCAAACCTGAGGAACTGAAAGCCATTGCTTATGAGATTCATGCACCAATCTAATAAGTACAGAGAATTCCAAGATCTCACAACATAGCTAGTTACCAACATGAACTCAATCAAAAGGGAAATCTAAGTCATCCTTCTTAAGTCTTTTTTGGATGACAACAGTGTCAAGACCAACTTGTACATGCTCCACTAATCAACCAAGTAAACCTGCTTACCAAGGTTGGAGCGGATAGGTTCACAGAGAGTGATATAGCAGCAATATAATCCTAGGATCTCCCAGTTATTACTCCTAAGTATCAAGCACTCACCAATCTCTTTGAGCCAAATCCAAGTCATTCTTCTTAGATTGAAAGTGTAATAATTCTCCCACACAGTTCATGACTTCAGTGGATTCCACACAAGCAAAGCAAAGCAAAGGTAAAGACAATTGGAAAACCACTAGACTAAATAATCAAAGCCAGAAAACAAACTCTTTCTTGTCACTAATACATGAAGTAGAGCATACTTTAGCAGCTTTTGAGTAAATTATATCAGATCTGTCTCAAAATTTCCGCAAGCCCTGGATTGCAGGTTCTCAAATAAGGACACAAGAAAACTCACAGGCAGCTGTACCATCACTACCGTGTTAGCAAAATGCAGATACACAGAAAAAAGTTGGGCTTTCTTGATACCAGTTTGATTGACCAGTCTGTAGATTTTACAATCAACTTAAATTTAAGGCATGATTAATAGTAATGAATTTGAACTTTATAGAAGGCACATTAACACAATAGTTCTGAATTGATGAAGGGCAAAAAATCAGCTCTCCCTAGCACATGAGCTCTAATGTCTGTACTCGTCTTAAGATATTGTTGTGGAAAAAAAAAAGAATTTGCAACCAATTGACATACTTTAGTGCAAGTCTAAAAACAATAGCATAATGAGAAAAGATCCCAGCAAGATGTAGGAGTAATGCATTGATTAGCAAGCAAAAGCATATGCAACCCCAAATGATGTGGATGGGATACCTTTGGAGGCTTAAATGGATAATCGGGTGGAAAATGAATGGTCACAAGAAACACTCCACCAGCATAAGGACTGTCAGATGGACCCATAAGTGTCGCTTGCCAGTGAAACATATCTTCCGCAACTGGGCCTGATACAAACAACAGCACAATAATCAGAACGACATTCCACACAGATCTTTAACAGGTTTCACAAAGCTACCATCCTAATACAAACAGCAAAAGAAAATGGCAAAAAGTAGAATGAAAAACCACTCGCGCACCATTTTTCATTATTCTCTTCCCTCCATCAAAACCATTATAACAAATGCACGTGCGAGAATGAAAAACAACAACACTTCATGGTGAAAAAAATGTGTGAACAGACCCAAAAAAACAACCTGAATTCTTCACACTTCCCACATCATAACCAAGGAATCATGTATGCAAGCAACTAAAAAGAAAATCTTCAAAAACAACCAGCCAATTTCTTTATTTTTTACCTACCCCACCCAGAATGATCGATAAATCAAAAAGAATTTTATCCAAGCCTGCGTTTCCAGCAAAAACAAATGCATCACATAGCCTTTACGACTTCATCACTTAACAACAGTAAGTTAATACTCAATTTCATCAACAGTATTCTCACACAACCTTACTTGTCAACACACCAGCCAATTCACTAAAATAAAGAAAAGAATCACTACAATACGAAAAACTACAGAACAAAAAATGGAACAAAGATTTAGAGCCGGTACCAACACTGCAAGGACTCACCCCGCCCAGGAGAATCATTAGACAGAACGAATTTCATCCACTCACTTGTTTGCAGCAAGAACAAATGCAAGCTAAAAACCTTTAGCTCACCAAACCATACTTAGTTAATACGTAATTTTAATCACCAAGTGTTTTTAACTTTTGGTTTGTAAAAACGAAGACAAGTGTTTTTTTCATCAACGGTATTCTCACACAACCTTACTCCACAAAACATCAGTCAATTTTGGAAAAAAAGAAAAATCATAACAATATACCCGGTGTAATTCCAGAAGTAACAAGTGGAGTTTGCTAGACTATATACAAACCTTACCCCTACACTGGGAGTTAGAAAAACTATTTCCAATATATCATCGGTTCAAGTAACAATTTTTTAAATAACCCATAACAAAAAACAATCACTCACATACAAATACTACATAACTTTACCAACAACAACAAAAAATAAAGAGCAACGAGATAGATGGTACCAGCACTGCAAGAGGTAGGAGGATCTTTCTGGAGATCCTTGAGCTCTTTCAGAATCCTCTTGGATGCCATTTCCGTACACAAAATCCCTTACAACAACAACAACAACAACAAAACCCTAAATCAGTTCTAGTATATAACGAAGATTTTTACATGTATAACAACTCATATATACAGAAAACAATCAGAATTTGAAACACGAAAGCTGAATTGTTTCATACCTCAGAAATCCTCCTACTCAATTTTGATTTTTTTTTCAGAGTTTTTGGTTTGGTGAAACGAAGAAGGGTTTTATAGGCACAAAGAAGAAGAAAATTTTAGGTACAGTGAACTTGGTTTTTGGTAACTTTATTTTTTTATGCTCATTTATAACCCTATTCTTCTGTAAATGTTGCAATTTCATCCCTTTGAACTTCAAACTTTTTATCTTAATCTTCGATCTTCGTATTTTTTTTTATATAAGATCATGTACTTAGTAAGTTATACATGTGTCATACACTAAACGTATTGCACTTATGGACTAACTTTGCCATTTTGGGCAACTCTAGGTATAACTTTCAATTCGATTCTTTAAGGGCTCGTTTGGTACGATGGATAAGAGATAGAGTTATTTTCATAATCAATTTTAAGATGAGTTTATTCCATATTTGATTGGAATAACATCACGAGATAACTTATCTCAAAATTATTGTGTTATTTTTATCTCATATTTAGGGTGTGGAATAACTAATCCTGGAACTTATTTCTCAACCCCTAACACCTTGTTTGGATGATTGTTATCTGTTGTATTTTTAGCTAAAAGACTGTGTTTGGTATGAAGAAAAATATTTTCTTGAAAATGTTTTTCAATTTTCTCATATTTGGTTGGAACAAAAGTTTTGGAAAAAAATTTTCAAATCAACTCATTTTCACCCGATACCTAACCCCCCACCCACGCACCCCCGGCCAGCCCCCCCCCCCCCCCCCAAAAAAAAAGATTAATTTTGCTTTTTTAAAAATATTTTCAACTTCAAATTTTTATTTTTAAATTCCTACTCCCCTCCCGCCAGCCCCCTACCAACCCCCCATCCCCCCCCCCCCCCCCAAAAAAAATTATGAATATTATCAAATTCAAATTTTTATTTTTTCATGCCTACCCCCTTTCCCCTGCCCCCCCCCCCCCCCCCCCAAAAAAAAAATTGTTTTTAAAAAATATTTTAAATTTCATAAATTATAAATAAAAGATGTTTCTTAAAAAAAATTTCATTCATAAATCAAACACTAAAATTCAATTCTGAAAATATTTTCTACTCATCAACCAAACATGAGAAAATAAGTCCAAAATCTATTTGTTTTTCAGAAAAACATTTTCTAGGAATACATTTTCCTTCATACCAAACGCACCCTAAAATATAGTGTTTTTTTGGATTGTTACTTAAATTCTACTATATGATATCCTTTGAATCTATCGTTAGATAAAAACGAAAAGAACCATTTTATAAACGATCGATTTGGTGTGATCACATCGTTACCTTAATAAATTTTTCTCATTTTATCTTTATCAATTATTTAATATCTCTATCCCGTATCCTACTTTTTTTTGTAAGATTATCATTCAAATAATCGATATATGACATTATATAACAACACAAAATGATACAATCTATCCAAACGTTATATTTATTAAAACAATATAATACGATACATTGTGGAACAACATGTATTAAAAGAAACAAAAATGTACCTAAATGTATTTAAAAGAAGTTTTGGGGTGACTAATGGAATTTCTGATAAAAGGCGTGGTTGATAGATCGGATACTACAAATTATGTGAACTGTCAACTCTGCTCTCTTACCTGTCGTCTTCTTCTCCGAAAACCTCTCTATCTCTGCTAGAAATAACCCGAAATTGCCTTAATCAGATCACATCGTTGACCCGATTTTGACCCAACTCAGCTCCGACAATGAACGACGCCGATGTATCCAAGCAGATCCAGCAAATGGTCCGATTCATCCGTCAGGAAGCGGAAGAAAAAGCTAATGAGATTTCCGTTTCTGCTGAAGAAGTAAGACCTGTGTTGAATTTCAATTTTATTATTTCTGTAATTGAGCATTGTTTCGATTCATAATCGGATCCAAAATTTGAAGTCAGGGAAGTGTGAATAGTGTTGTAATCACTAATTTTTGTGGTAAAATATATGTTACTTAATAAGAAATTTCGAGTTATCTATGTTGTTAGAGTCTAAAAAAAAGCACTTTTGAGGAAGTTTGACTATTTGAGTTCTGCATCTAGCATTTTTTTGAGTCGAAGGCGGATCCAAAATTTGAAGTCGTTGTGTTATTTGTGATTATTAGCGTAAAAGTATAGTACTTATCGATATTTTTGAAAGTAGTTTGACTCTAAAAAGTTTTAAATGTGTACTTTTCAGAATGTTTTGACTATTTATTTTCTGCATCTAGCATTGTTCTTTGTTAGAGGTTTATCCAAAATTTAAAGTCATATGTGTGAATAGTGAAGCAGACACTATTATTTGTGATAATAAGTGTAAAGGTGTATGTTTTTTAATAAATTTCGAATTAAATATGTTGTTAGAGTCTATAAAGTTTTTAAATGACATTTTTTGGCAAGTGGCGTGTGTGAATTATGCTGCACTCACTAATTTTTGTGATAATAAATGTAATTATATGGTACTTTTTTATGATCTCCAATTATATATGTGGTTCATAAAAAGCCTTAAAATTTGGATCTATTGTCACTAATTTTTGTGATAATAATTGTAAGTGTATGGTAGTTTATAAAATCTCCAATTATACATGTGATTCGTCTAAAAAGTTTTAAATCTGTACTTCTCAAAAAGTTTTGACCATCTAATTTCTGTAACCAGTTCTGACTCAGTGTCGGATCCAAACTTTAAAATTGCTGAAATGTGATGATAAGTGTAAAGATATACATACTATTTGAAATTTTGGATTATATATGTAGTTCGAGTGAAAAAAGTTCTAAATTTATATATATTGTAAGAAAAAGTTTAGATTTTTTTGTATTTAATTGGAGTTGGAACTTTTTCTGACAATTCACAGAGAGATAGTTGGATCTGCCTATTTTTGGAGTCCCTTTTAAGGTAACTAGAGAAATAATGGTCTTTGGATGTGGCTATTTCTTAGGAATTCAACATCGAGAAGTTGCAGCTAGTGGAAGCAGAGAAGAAGAAGATCAGACAAGAGTACGAACGCAAAGAGAAACAAGTGGATGTTCGCAAGAAGATGTAATTTTTTCTCATTTGTTTTGGTTTGTCCTTGTGTTACTATTTTGTGCTTTACGTCAAATTGGATTGAATAAAATGCTCTTTGATTTTATGTTTGGGAATTCAGATTGCTGGTCAAATACTACAATTTGAGTTCTGTCAGCCATCAAAATGCCATCGTGCTCTAAATGTGAAGAGAAGATATCAGTAATACTATGACTGTAACAGCAATTTGATTTGTTGTTTCGTAACTATATTAGCTAGCACTTGATTTTGGATGAAAATAATTACTTTTATTTGATGTCTTAGCTTAAGATTTTAGTTTGCAGCTCGAGAATACCTCTTTCTATTTTAGTATATCCAGGTTTCTTCTTGTGTTGTTCATGCTTGGTCTGGAACATCATGGATGTACTTTTTCAGTTGGTTTTGCTGGGTACGTCTGAAGTACAAGCATTGTGCATAATTTGGAGCTTTTGTAGTGTTCTACTGTGCTACCATGAAATATTAATACCTTTTTTAGTACTTCTTGTTAGTTAGAATATAGTAGTTTTTTTTGGAACAAGCCATATGGTTAAATTTGGTCTGAAGTTGATTTCCTGGTGACGTTCTTTTCTGTAGACTTTAGCAAGCCAGATCATGTTGAACTGGATCTGAAATTTAAATTCTTAATTGCTATTGTTTTGCAAAAATTACACTATATATGATTCAGCTTAATTATCTAGTTTGAACTGCAATTGGCCGACATGGTCTTTAAAGTTTCTTCTTAATGTAATTCTTGTAGTGAGTACTCCATGCAACTCAATGCCTCTCGAATCAAAGTTCTTCAAGCTCAGGACGACTTGGTTAACACCATGAAGGAGGCAGCAGCAAAGGAGCTCTTAAATGTTAGCCATCATGAGCACGGCATCATAGATTCTATTCTTCACCACCACCACGGCGGTTATAAGAAGCTTCTGCATGATCTTATTGTTCAGGTATGATGGACGTTAATCTACACGATGTTCTCATCTTCTTTTTTCTGGACTTCATGAATTGAACTATGAGATCTTAGAAACCAAGTAGGAATGTTATAGAAGATATAATGTGTAAGTGGACCAATATTAGTCATCTATTGATGTGGCCATAAGCATCATGTTATCTGAACTTTTAGGGCTAGATTATGAATCCTTATTTGGTTTTTATGGCATTAACTGTATTTACAATGAAATGAGACTACGAAAATTGTGATATCTCTTGCTTCAAGTTTGGACTGGGTCTTAAGTCTAAGACTCTTTTAGAATCATGTTTTTGTTTTAGATACCAAAATATAATTGGATATTATTAAAAGGAACTTTTTCTGGTACCTTACCTTCATTCACGATACATCTAAAATTGAGGCTCAACTTCAACAGAATCTAAAATTGTAGCTCTTACCCTCATGGTAATATGAAGCGTGTAATTTCTTCTTTGCAAGTATTTAAATGTCTAGAGTGCTATGACCAAACCTAATTCTATGATTAACAACAATTATTGTCTTTTATGTTGTTTGTGACTGTAATTGGCTGGACTGTTCATGGTGTCTGGATGGCTTACTGAATTTATTATTGCTTAGTCTTTAGGCATGATTTGAAACCAACTCTTTCTGTTGCAGAGTTTGCTTAGGCTTAAAGAGCCTTGTGTCCTTCTGCGTTGTCGGAAACATGATGTACATCTGGTTGAACATGTACTGGAGGGAGTAAAGGAAGAATACGCAGAGAAGGCAAGCGTCCATCAACCTGAGATCATAGTTGATGAAATCCACCTTCCTCCTGCTCCATCACATCATAATATGCATGGTCCATCTTGGTAAGCTGCTCTATTACAACCTTACTTTCATGAGTATCTGTTGGTTGCATTCCTTCCTTTCTCTTGTTTTGCGTGTTATTGCTTTTGGGAGAAATTAATGTTCTGAAAAATCACTTAATTCCTCTTACCTACCTCTCTCTCTTTATACCCACAGCTCCGGAGGAGTGGTGTTGGCTTCTCGAGATGGGAAAATTGTGTGTGAAAACACTCTTGATGCCAGATTGGAAGTTGTGTTCCGTAAGAAACTACCAGAGGTACTATCTTCTTTTCTTTCCTTCATACTTCTCAGATTTCTGTGGTCTTGTCTTGCCAATTTTTTT